ACACACACACACACACACACACACACACACACACACACACACACACACACACACACACACACAGGCACACACTGTTAGGATGCAGCAAACTGATGAGCTCAGCTCAAGGAGCAGTGATGAAACTGTAGGAACAGGACACAGCAGACCAGGTCAGAAAGTGCTAAACAGGCGAGGAGAGGGAAACATGTCGATTCCTCTCTGCTAATGTCCAGTCTCTGTGGAGGAAGACTTTCTTTTCATTGTCTGCTTGCAACTTTTAGAACAGTTAATGAGTTCAGCTGTTACACCAAGTTTCACACAAACAATGCTTCATTATTTTTCAAGGGGTGAAAGTGGGAGACCATGTTTTTGTTCATATCTGTGATTTTTATTTWTATTTTTTTGCGTTTGTTTATGTGTTTGTCTTTTACCGTAATATCTGACGAGCCACTGGACACAATTTAATGAGACTTACAATAATAATCACTGGATGTACATCTACAGCTGAACGTTCGAACTCTTGAAGACAAAATACTTGCACACAACAGAAACCCCGCCCCCATTTTAGGCACACGTTCTTATTGGGCGTCASTCTCAACTGTTAACTACCCCAGCTTCTCTGTCCATATTTTCTGTCTCACTCAACACTTCTAACGACACTAGCTTGCCTTGTCCTGCTCTACTTCCTGCATGTTCGTTCAGCAGTGCAGCGAGGAAAAATGYCTACCACAAAACAGTTTTTTGGTGGACGTGCCTATTTAAATCGGTGTGCCAGTATATCAAACACAACAGTAAAAAAAGAAACAGTTTTCAACATGGACAAGTATACCGTCCTGCTCTAAGCTCAATGACTTTTGGTGTATTCAGTTCAAGATGGCTGCCATAGCCAACGAACCTCAAAAAAAAAAAACACAAACATGGTTTTAATTCTGTCAGTTTTACAGATAGCAAGCTAGAATTTGGTGCAGTAGTAGCTGAGAGTCATTACCAAGGCWTACTCTGAGTTCAACAGCTTTCTATATTGAATTAGACCAGCTCCAACTCTCCTGATTAGCATGAATGGACGATTCACAGGCTTCTACAGAACTTGAAGAKGTAATTCAATCACTAGGTCRGGTGGGTTGGAGCAGAGAAACAAGCTGCCTTTGAGGACCAGGATYGGACACCTGTGCWTTAGACGGTGCTCGTTATTTTAAAGGTTTGACCAAAAGCACTCTGATTGGTTGTATTGGCTAAAACCAATTACAAGTGTCTTGCAGTTTCAAAGATATTGAGTTTAGGGATGCACGATATATCGGCATTAATATCGGTATCGCCGATATTGGTCATTTTTTAGAATATCGATATTGGCAYGATGTAATTAATAATACAATGATAATAAAATGTGTTTGTTTGTGTAATATCGGTAAATATCTGTTATCGTCCATAACAGCAATAATTATATCGGATATCGATATCGGCTGAAATTTTCATATCGGTGCATCCCTAATTGAGTTATTCACATCCAAGACTCCAGCTGCTAACTAATAATTATTAAGATTAATAAAACAAAYGTTTTTAAACTTTGGCTAAAACTGCAGACGTTCTTAGTAAAAAAAAAAACAGGGCGATATGGATTTCTCCAAGGAATGCTAGATCTTTAATAAATTCATACATTAATAAAAAATACTCAAGAATGAATTACAGTAATTTAATTTTACTCTAATCTCATTTATTAATTAATATAATCTTGCTTTAATCAGAAAAGTACCAGTATTTGATTTACTAAGAGGCGTGAATGGCTCCAATCTAAATAAATGACTTTTACTCTTCCCTGGCGTGATTCGTTAGGAGGTGATTGGCAGCTCCAACACAAGCGTATCAGCRCTGGCATCAAGCTAAGCTCATGTTAGCTGAACTGTTGTGTTGAGATTATACCCAGAGAAGCTGCGCACATCTGCCAGGGCCGGGACAGAGTCTGTAGCTGTTGGGCCTTTATCTGGAAGTGTGAGTTACCCTGGAGCCACAGTTGGCAGGAATTTGAACTGATGTCTGCTGGAAGAGGGGGGTGGAGGGGGGAGGACACCAAATCATCACTCAGCAAGTGCTCAGCATCACTTTCTGCATAAAAGCACAGTTACTGGAGACAAACTTGCATTTGAAAACAGATAAACATCCTCTGAAAGCAGCCAGTTTACTTTCATGTTCACACACACACTTTTTTCTTTCTCTTTTTAATTTTTGTCTCTCTCTCTCACACACACACACACACACACACACACACACACAC